TAGTACATTTGCATTTTCCACTATCTTTCTGAGGTATATTACTGATTAGAAATATAAGAGAACCGTCTAGTTAGTTTTTTTTTTTTTCCCCTTTTGTCCAGTTCGTAATTAAGCTGATTTGGTCAACCTAGGGCATTTTGAAAATATTCTGTAGAAAGAAGTCTAATCTCTTAGAAAAGTAATTGAATTAAAATCTTTTCTAGTCACATTCTTAGTTGTAGATAGATTTTATATGTGAGTTTATTTTTATATTTAGACAATATTTTCCCATGGTAGACTATTAAAACAGTACAGGAGCATATAAAGTGGAAAAATAACAGTTCCTTTGTTCCACCTAAGGAAAACCCACTGTTAACCATTTCTTGTGTGTACTTCTTGAAGTTCTACACACCATATCTATTTTTTCCTTTGAAATGCACATGTGCCTGCACATACACGAAGCCATACTGTGTACCATGTGTAAATAAATGTGTTATTCTTGGGGCGCCTGGGTGGCTCAGTCAGTTGAGCGACTGCCTTCAGCTCAGGTCATGATCCTGGAGCCCCGCATAGTATCGGACTCCCTGCTCGGTGGGGAGTCTGCTTCTCCCTTTTCCTCTGCTCCTCGCTGCTTTATTTATCTTAAATAAATAAAATCTTAAAAAAATGTGTTATTCTTTTTTACTGGCTGCAGAGATTTCTATTGTATGGAACTTTAATAAGGTATTTAAGTGATCCCATTTTAATAAACATTTAGATTTTATTTTGTGATTTTGCTATTCCAGTAAATTCCTGGTAGATACCGCTTCATAATTATGTGGCCGTATATAGAATAGATCCATAGAGGTATCACTGGGTAATTATAAAACATCAAATCTTGTGGTATAGGTACGTACTTTAATAACTTGACCAAATGTTTGGTGGATTGCCTTGTTTTGGAATCTTTCTCATAAAATTGGAATTCATAAGCAATATTTAGTTTACTACTTTTAAGTTAATGTAGGGGAGTAGTTCCAATTAATTAAGGTTTTACCTTGGGAAATGGATTGTGTCTGCATATATAATAGATAAATACTCAGAAGAAGTGACAGTGCTTGACCATCACTGTATTTCAATCCAGTAATAAGTTATTATATACATACTCATTTGTATGCTAAGCATTTGATATATATTCTTTTAATTTCCTGAGCAGTTGAGTGAGATTGGTACAGTGTTCTTATTTAATGTTAGAAGAGACTGATGATTAGAGAGGTTGAATGCTTTGCCCAAGGCCCCAGAACTGGCCACATGGAAACTATTCTTAAATGTAACTGTCCATTGAACATTACATCAGAAACTAACTATGTACTGTATGTTGGCTAATTGAATTTAAATAAAAAAAAAATGTAACTGTAGGATTCCTATTTCCTGTTTTGTCGTTGTATTCCTTCCAATAAAACAATATTTTCAGTCATTAAGAACCCAGTGAAAATATAATGGAAGAAAATAAAACCTGCCTCTGATTCTTGAAATGAAAGCTGCCATCTTCCTACCACCTCCAACTTTTTGGATTCATGTAAAAAGTGTTGTACAGTGTATTACAAATAAATAGAGTAAATTAAGGAGAGAAAATTTAATTTGGAATCACATTATGCTTCATGCTATAATAAAATCTCGTTTATCCTAAAGATAATTTACCCAATATCTCTAGCCATCTCTTATTCAACCGAAAAACAGAAATGCTTCCAGGAACCACCCAGGTGCCCCTGACCTTTCTTTTGTGAACAGGAATCCCTGTCTTGGGTTCCTGGGTAGCTCAGTCGGTTAACCAGCCAACTCTTGATTTTGGCTCAGGTCATGATCTCGATTGTGGGATCGAGCCTCTCACCAGGCTCCATGCTCAGTGCAGCCTCTTGCCAGGCTCCATGCTGGAGATTTTCTCTCTCCCTCTGTGCCCCCCCCCCCCCCCGCACTCTCTCTAAAAAAAAAAAACAAAAGGGCAAATTACGCTGGATAAATATGTAAAGCATTGACATACCTAAACTGTTGGATATGATATGTTCTTAACTTTTAACTTTTGTGAAGGGCCCTTTTCACTGAAGTATTGTTATTGTTGAAGTTCACAGCATAGTCTATTTAGTGTTGCAGATTCTCAAAAATGAAAAAGATTGATGGTGACTCAAAAGTGTACACATGTGACTGGGCAGAAGAAAACCTCTGTATCTGTGTTGCTGTAGGACTTTTTTGCAATTAGCTTGCAGATTTTGATTCCCCTCCTCAGAGTGTTGTGATTGCTCTGTACATTCTATAAATTATTTACACCCTGATGCTACTAAGTGACTACATTAATGGCACGTCTGACTCCACATGATATCAAGAACTTTAATAATTCATTACTTATTACAGCTACATCCCTGTAAGTTAGCATGCGTGGGAGCGGAGTTTACAACACATTGAGATAAGGCCTTCTCTGAGATCTTTACTCTCCAAGCATCATGTCCATAAATATTCAGATATTAGTGGTGTTTAAAAATAAAGGATTATTGACTGTTACAAAGCTAGACTCTTAGGTTTTGTTTATCAAGCATTAGATTACTTCAAGTTTTTCAGTACATTTTAGGGATATTCAAGTTGAAAATATTTGGAAGACAGTTCTCCATTTCAGGACTTTCGCTTAAAAAAAAAACCCAAAACCTGACAAACCAGCATTAGCTTATGCAAATTAAATGGAATTAATGCTTTGCCATTGGGAAGAATGGTGAGAGACTTTAAGTATCCAAATTCTTAATCTAAGAGTTTTATTTATTTTTAAAAGATTTTATTTATTTGACAGAGACACAGCGAGAGAGGGAACACAAGCAGGGGGAGTGGGAGAGGGAGAAGCAGGCTTCCCGCGGAGCAGGGAGCCCGATGTGGGGCTCGATGTGGGGCTCGATCCCAGGACCTTGGGATCATAACCTGAGCCGAAGGCAGACGCTTAACGACTGAGCCACCCAGGCACCCCAGTCTAAGAATTTTACATCTGATAGTCAAAGTCTTCCAGTCTTAGTCTTCTTCAGCCTTTTTGAAGTTCTTTATTATTTTTTTATTTTTTATTTTTATTTTTTAAAGATTTTATTTATTAGAGAGAGAGAGAGTGAGAGAGCACGAGAGGGGAGAGGGTCAGAGGGAGAAGCAGACTCCCTGCTGAGCAGGGAGCCTGATGCAGGACTCAGTCCTGGGACTCTGGGATCATGACCTGAGCGTAAGGCATTCATTTAACCAACTGAGCCACCTAGGCACCCTTTATTTTTTATTTTTTAAAGATTTTATTTATTAGAGAACACACATGAGAGAGCACAAGTAGGGGGACCAGCTGTGGGAGAGGGAGAAGCAGGCTACCCTCTGAGCAGGGAGCCTGACGAGGGCCTCAGTCCCAGGACCTCGAGATCACAACCGGAGCTGAAGGCAGACGCTTAACCGACTGAGCCACCCAGGCGCCCCTTGAAGTACTTAAAAAAAAAAAAAAAAAAAGAGGAAGGGTATGGTTATGGAAAGCAAGGGTGTGTCTGTGCACTCCCATATATGCACATGTCATGATTAAATTCCAGAGGGAAATTTAGGTATAAAAGAATGCATACATTTCTAGGGAGGAGGGGGAATGGTTAAGTCAATGTTGAATCTATCTTTAGTTTTCCAGTGACTCTGAGTACTTAAATACTGCTTTCCAAAAAGACAAAAAGGTTACTAAAGTTGGCAATTTGTAACCCTAGTACTTAGCACAGGGCCTGGCACATGGTTCAGTAAATGTTTATTGCATGACTAGCTGATGATCAGATCAATCCATATAATTTTAGACACCTGGTATTTTGATAACTCAAACAACTATACAGATTTTTACTATAGTAGTTTCCCTTCCCCCATATTCACAGGAGATACATTCTGAGACTCCCAGCGGATGCCTGAAACCGTAGATAGCATTGAACCCTATATATACTATGTTTTTTCTTATACATACCTATGATAAGGTTTAATTTATAAATTAGGCACCATACAAGACATTAACAGCAATAATAAAAAACAATTATAACCATATACGGTAATAGTTATATGAAAGTGGTCTCTCTCTCAAAACACCTTACCATACTGTACTCACCCTTCTTTTCTTGTGATGATCAAATGCCCATGTGATGATCAAATGCCCATGTGATGAGATGAAGTAAAGTGAATGATGTAGGCGTTGTGACCTAGCGTTAGGATCATCTGCTTCCAGAGCAGGGTTGACTGTGAGCAATTGAAACCATAGAAAGCCAAACTGTGGATAAGGGGGAGTGGGGGAACTACCGTAGTTGCTTTCTATGATAGTGCTACTTTGGGAGTGTATTGTAGTTCACGGTTAGTGTTTTATTTATTTATTTATTTGTTTGTTTGTTTAAAGATTTTATTTATTTATTTGACAGAGAAAGACACAGTGAGAGAGGGAACACAAGCAGGGGGAGTGGGAGAGGGAGAAGCAGACTCCCTGCCGAGCAGGGAGCCTGATGCGGGACTCGATCCAGGGACTCCAGGATCATGACCTGAGCCGAAGGCAGTCGCTTAACCGACTGAGCCACCCAGGCGCCCTCACTGTTAGTGTTTTAAAATGCCACCTAATGTGGATATGGGGTTCTGATCTCTGAGGCATATATTCTTTTTTTTGTCCATAATCAAAACTTTATTGAAAAACTGAGACCAGGGGCTCCTGGGTGGCTCAGTCGTTAAGCTCTGCCTTCGGCTCAGGTCATGATCCCAGGGTCCTGGGATCGAGCCCCGCATCGCGCTCCCTCCACGGGAGGCCTGCTTCTCCCTCTCCCACTCCCCCTGCTTGTGTTCCCTCTCTCACTATGTCTCTCTCTGTCAAATAAATAAAATCTAAAAAAAAGAAAAACTGGGACCAAAATAGATCACCATTGTGTACCTTACAAAATTAAACATAATTACATTATTTTGGTAGATTAACTGGAATTGCTGAACTGATGAGGCTTTCTGCAGTACAACACAAATTCAGGAGGTTGTGTGGATCATTAGTGTTGCTTTCTTCTCAATGAAGAACACCCCTCTGTGAGTCTGACCTTTCCTCCTGTTGGCTGGCACAACACTGTTGAACAGCCTACCCAAGTAACCACCATCTGAGCATGGCTGAGCACCGCGGTGATCTTGTAACAACGTGGACATTTTACTTCCATAAAATAGGAATATGGGCTTTGAACTAGCTGTTTCTTTTTATGTTTTCTCTTTTCCTCTTCCAAGGACGGGTGTAGTAAATCTCTAGCCAAAAGCCTGTTAATCCTTTATCGAGTGCAGACAGTCTGATCTCTGAGGCAACACCCCTAGTGAGCAGCACGCGATTGGGCTTGCAGCACTGGAGGCATATGTTCTTAAGACAGCGTTATCCTGTCGAGAGGCTCCAAAGTCTTTCCAGTATCCTTTGGGTTCTGTCAGAAAGCCTTTAGAGGGGCGCCTTTGTGGCTCAGTTGTTAAGCGTCTGCCTTCGGCTCAGGTCATGATCCCAGGGTCCTGGGATCGAGCCCCGCATCGGGCTCCCTGCTCCTCGGAGAGCCTGCTTCTCCCTCTCCCACTCCCCCTGCTTGTGTTCCCTCTCTCGCTGTGTCTCTGTCAAATAAATAAATAAAAATCTGTAAAAAAAAAAAAAAAAGCCTTTAGAGGTTCTTCAAAGAGATAGAGAAAATCGTACCCTTTCCCCCAGTAGAGACACTGGACAGTTTTCACTGATACTTAATACAAAGTAGGTTATACCATGTGTAAGGTGAGTTAACTTGATTGCTTTAGATTTCTTTAATAATAGTTTTCTTTAAAAGTGATTATCTGGTCATTGACATCCATGAGAGAACTGTAGATGATTATGGTCAAGAGTTACATTGCCAGAGAGATTAGGGTTTGGAAAGGCATTAGAAGCACTGTTATGATTAAAATGAAAGCTCTTAATCTGTAGAAGGGAAGAAGTGAAATTTTAGCAAGCATCAGCTATGGAATTAAATCATACTATGCTAGCCTGCTACATAGATGATAGTTGCCAGACCAGCCACCTTGGAGCAGAATGTGGACTATTGAACTTAAATTACAAGAGCTGAATTTTAGTTGAAATGCCACAATAAGTCTCTTTTCACTTGTATAAAATCCAGTGTTGTTTACTAGCAAGTGTGAGTTGGATGAAAGCATCTGAATATAAGGTTTTTATGTGGAGCAAATTCCTATTTTTATCTCTCAAATTTCCCAGTGCATACCCCTCCCTAGTCATGAGTTTTCTTGAGCTGATACCTGGTGCCAGGTATCTTGGAATAAAGGTGTTAGAACTGTTGTGGAAAAGGGATGGTTTCATCTGGCTTTAGTTATCTTATAGTGTAAGTTAAGCTCCTAAATGAAAGTGGCTAAGTTTTACAGATGGACAGACATGAATCTGGCTGAGAGCAAACTGTTCTCTGATAGAGACATCACTCAGACCTGCATGCATCTGTCAGCTGCTCGTGGTGGCGCAGTGAGAGACAGTGATCCGTTACGTTTCTCTAGTGTGCCCCTATTGCTAGCCATATTGTAACGTTTAATACGTCACTTGGGCAGACAGCTTGTGTGGGCTGGATTCCACTTCAGCCTTGTAAAGATGCCAGGAAACATCAAGGTGAATTTTTAAAGCCTATTTAAATATTTAGACTCATGACTAATTTCAGTGAAATCTCTGCTATATCTAACAAAGTGCTTGCTAGAAGTGAGATGGAATTTCAAGTTTATGGCTTCCTCACTTACTAGCTACAATCCAACTACCTTGGATTGACAAATTATTAATCTCTCTGCCTGTTTTTGTCTTAGGCAAGTGAGGACTGTAAAAGTATTTGCCTCATAAGGTAGTGTGTGGATTTAGGCAGTTAATATGTATAAAGTGCATAGAAGAGTGCCTGACCACCAATCATCATCATTAACATAATTTGGAGATGGATTTTTCTTCCCCAAAGCTAGATTGCTTTTTTTAGGAAGACCGTATCTCTGTTGAGGATATGGTCAACCTCATTTCTAATATAGAAGCTCACTATCTTGACTTGTGAAATCGATCTTCTTTTATCTACTGCTAAAGTATAATGCAGTACATTACAATATTATATATTACAATATGTTATGTAGTATGTTACTTTAAAAAGTATATTTTTTTCAAAAATATATACAGTGTAGTCCATTACAATAAAAGTATAAGATAATCACTAAAAGGGATGAAAGAACTCTTTAATATTGCTGTGGAATGATCTACCCAGATGTATTATTAAGCGAAAAGACTAAGGGCAAATTAGTGTGTAAATTATTCTACCATTTTTGTAAAATTTTGCTGGTGCATGCATAAAATATCTGGCAGGCTGCACAAGAAATGGTGTATTTTCATTTGTTGCTTTTGGGGAGGGAAATCGTATGACTGACAGGATGGGAGATTTAAACTTTATTTCTTTTTATACTTTCTGATTATTGAACCATGTGAATATATTCCCTAGTTAAAAAAAAACCCTCATATAAATGAAGAAAAAGTTAAAATAGCTATTTTAAAATCTAGGTATTTATTCATGCTTTGTAAACATTTCTTCTTTTTGTGTGTACTATTCAAATTCACATTTGATAGGGCTTTTAGATTATGTTTTAGTTTTTTTTTTTTTCTTTAAGTCTCTTTTCCAACACTAAATTAAGAATGATCTTTCGTCCTCCATTAGGGATCTGAGTCATAATCGGTTGTCTAACTGGAACATCAGCTTGGAATCTCAAACATTACAAGAAGTGTAAGTTATTTTTATTTGTTTAAATTAAACTCTTAGGGTGGATTTGATGAATTATGAATTTGAGGATGTTTAATCCAGAAATGCTGTCAAAAAAAATTTTTTTTAAAGATTTTATTTATTTATTTGAGACAGATAGAATGAGAGACAGAGAGCAGGAGAGGGAGGAGGGTCAGAGGGAGAAGCAGACTCCCCGCTGAGCAGCGAGCCCGATGTGGGATGCGGGACTCGATCCCGGGACTCCAGGATCATGACCTGAGCCGAAGGCAGTCGCTTAACCAACTGAGCCACCCAGGCGCCCTGCTGTCAAAAAATTGACGGAAAAAATTGCAAAGATATTGTTTAAAAACCTAAACTGTTGTCTTTGGCTTTGCTACTGTTACAGACTCCCCGGGCATTGCGCCATTAGGTTGGTGATTAGTTGCAAACTGTGTAGAAATAATTATTCTATCTACTTTCTTGGGATCAAAAGTAAGATTTTTTTCCCCCTTTTCAGAGTAAATAATTTTGCTTGTTTTTTGCCAGTTTCAGCCAATGAAATTCTCTGTTGTGTAAATTTTTTTATGTCTTGACTTGTCTAAGATACAAGCATCATGTCTAAAGCAGAGTAACGTGGGCGTACCTGGGTGGTTAAGTGTCTGACTCTTGATCTCAGGTAGCTATCATTATCTATCCCCAGCGTGGAGCCTACTTAAAAAAATAAGATTTACGTGAAATGAGTGTTTTTGTATTGTCTGTAATGTGGTGGTTAATATAGTTCAATTTCCACTTCACTGAAGTTTTTCCTTTAATACTGAGATGTATTAGTATGTATTTTTTGGAGGCAATTTTCTAAAATACTACTAGTATCAGTTACTGCATTGTGATGTTTTCAGAGGCACAACTATTGAGGCCTGTTTGCCTGTATGCTAAAACGCCAGAACCTTCAGATTTATTTTTCTTTTTAACTTCTTGCTGACAGGGGTAACTTCTTCATGTCTCATTGTCCTTGAATTCCCTCTGTCTCTGCTCCAAATTGACTGGTTTTGATCTGCTGTGCACTGAATAAATAAATTGACAAGCTTATTTGGCTAAAAGAGTAGACACCGAAGAAAGTGGGAAATGCATGAGCTTTATGACATGGACTTTGTAACTTTGGCTGTTTTCTGGGAGGCCTTTTACTTCTGGTTTCTGTAGTCTAGGTTATTGAGGTTGTTTAGTGATTGAAAACCATGTTAATGAAATGTGATTATATTAGATTTGCTACTAAAACATTGGAGACATTATGTTTAAAGAGCTGCTAGGATCAGAGGGTGATATATCATGTCATCTGTAAAATTAATGATAGGTTCCATCTCTCAGGCAGATTCATCTGTTGGATTCAAACAACCCTCTCTAACTTTGAATAACTTAAAAAATATATGTGTGTGTGTATTTTAAAAATTTACTTGATTTATAATTTTTTATCTTATTTACTATAAATGTATAAGGAGATATGGATAGGTTAATTATTTCTTCTTTAAGAAGGACTGAAATTAGCTGTCAGAAAGCAAACTATTCAAGAACATTGCTGAGATTAAAGATACTTGATGTGCAAAATAGTGTTATCAATCATAGATCTACATCATGAAAAAACATTTCTTATTAAAATCTTTAATTTCTCAGTATAATGCATTTAGTCTAATTCATTCTGAGTCATCTGCCTTTTTCAAATTTGGCACCTATCCTAAAGAATAATTATTAGCCAGAAACCAGAACTCAAGAGGCAACATTTCCCCCTCTAAACTTTGAAATCTGTTTTTCCCCTTTGCCTAGGAAAATGAATTATAATGAGCTAACAGAAATCCCATATTTTGGAGAACCAACCTCTAATATTACTCTACTCTCACTGTAAGTAAATCAGATTTCATATCTTTTAAATTATGAATAGTACAGTTTTTAAATTTAATTTTTGTTTTTGGTACCCTTATTGTTGATCCTAATTATTTAACATCCTCATGGCCTGGGGTGGGTCTCTGGCAGTAGCTTCATTACAGTCTTTTTTTTTTTTAGAGTCCATAATATAATCCCAGAAATAAACGCAGAAGCGTTTCAGTTTTACCCTGCCCTCGAGAATTTAGATCTCAGTTCAAATACAATATCAGAAATCAAGACATCTTCATTTCCTCGAATGCAGCTTAAATACCTGTAAGTAGTTTAAACTAGATTTATTTTAAAGTGTATGTTTATTTATTGATACTTATCTTCCCAGAAATCTCTGTTATTTATTGTGATTTTGATATGCTTATGAGAAGCAAATCTGGGGTCAGTTTTTTGGGTTGTTTTTTCTCTCCTATTGTCAGAAAATATTAAGTATCCAGGGTAATTTTTGAGGTTTAATTCTGGGTGTGTTTTACTAACAGTTTTGTAAAACGTAAATAGGATTGGTTTGTTAAAACAGTGGCTTATCCTATATAATGATAATCAGCATGTGTGCTAGTGTTTTTCAAAGCATATTCATACTTACTGTTTGAACCTAAATGAAGTAGGTATTATCCTTATTTTGTAGTTGAAGAAACAGAGCAGTTCAATGATTTGTAAAGTTGGGTATAGTTGCTAAGTGGTAGAGCTGGGCTCACTCATAGCCTTTGGGGTAGCTGTCAGGTGGTAGAATATTTTGTTTCACTAAATTTTTTTGTTATCTTGTTCATTTTAGAAATTTGAGTAATAATAGGATAACCATCTTGGAGGCTGGTTGCTTTGATAATTTATCCAGTTCCTTACTAGTGGTAAAGTTAAACAGGAACAGAATCAGCATGATTCCACCCAAGATTTTCAAGCTACCTCACCTCCAGTTCTTGTGAGTAACTAAATAGATGGATTTTAAGAAGATTGTTTTTTCTTTTAAATTATTTTAATTATTATTAGAGCAAATCAGCAAATGTCTGACTGGAAAACTACTTTTGTTAAAGGGAACTTAAAAGAAATAGGATTAAAGTGGTGGAAGGTCTGACATTCCAAGGGCTTGACTCCTTAAGATCTTTGAAGATGCAGCGGAATGGTATTAGCAAACTTAAGGATGGAGCTTTTTTTGGCTTGGATAACATGGAAGAATTGTAAGTACTATGAACTAGAATAGAATATTGTTAGGAAAGGGGTCAGCCTGGGACTTAGTGCCAAACGGCTAGGGTAGTTGATTTAATTATATGCAAGTACATTAGTTCTTTCTCCCTTCTCTGATGTGAAATAAGTGTATACAAAGCTCTTTAAGCTTTGTTATCAAACTGGTATTTTTTTTATCATTCTTACAAACATTTTGTGTAGGGGCGCCTGGGTGGCTCAGTTAATCATCTGACTCTTGATCTCAGGGTCATGAGTTCAAGCCCTACGTTGGGCCTCACACTGGGCATGGAGCCTACTTAAAAAACAAAACAAAACATTTTGTCTAAAAATCTTATATTTTCTTAATGTTTGGAGCTGATGAAAATTATCAGGATTTACCTCAAACAGGTACATCAAACTTCTTAGTGTGTTGATTTTATAGATCTGATGTTTTAGACAGTCTTACTACCTTCTAGCAATAAATTTTAAGTAGAGTATACTTACTGGATAGAATTTGTTGGCTCACTTGTATTGAGTGAAAGTATATGCCTCTCTGAGCAAGACCTCATGAAGAGTTTTGGAATCTTCTTGTTGCAATGCCTTGTTTGGAAGCCTATTTTCTCCTTTCTTTCTCTAATTCTGCAGAGAACTGGAGCATAATAACCTTACAGAAGTGAACAAGGGGTGGTTGTATGGCTTGCGAATGTTACAACAGCTCTCTGTGAGCCAGAACGCTGTTGAAAGAATCAGCCCTGATGCATGGGAGTTCTGCCAAAGACTATCTGAACTGTGAGTGTTGGCTGGCATTTCCATGGCGGCTGGGAGACCAGAGTAGGTTGGAATAAATCACTGTCATAGCCAATAATGAGATCTAACATCCCTCTTTATTAGAAGTTTGTTGAAAACTCTAAATTTAACATGTAAATAGAATGAGAATAGGAAAGTTGAATTAAAATACAATGAATTCCTTACCTTCCATGTTTCCTGTTTTTAGTGATTTGTCCTATAACCAGTTGACCCGCTTGGATGAATCTGCCTTTGTGGGTCTGAGCTTACTGGAGAGACTGAATTTAGGGGACAACAGAGTCACTCACATTGCTGATGGTGTATTTAGGTTTCTTTCCAATCTTCAGACACTGTAAGTACATCTGTCCTTTTTTTTAAAAACAGTAAAGTAAATAAGGGCACCTGAGTGCTCAGTTGGTTAAGTGTCTAACCTCGGCTCTGCTCATGATCTCAGGGTCCTGGGATCGAGCCCTGCATTGGGCTCCCCGCTCAGCAGGGAGTCTGCTTGTCCCTCTGCCCCTCCCCTCGCTCGTTCTCTCTCTCTCTAATAAATAAATACAATCTTTAAAAAAAAAATAGTAAAGCAAATTAAAACTGCTAATCAAGCTACACATTTACGTTTATGTTAATATTTTGCAGTTCTTCTTCTATCTTATACTTTGGGGCAAGACAGTCTTATTTGTCTCTATCCCCGCACATAAATCTTATTTATCTTTAGCCAGTTCAATTTGTACTTTAATTCTGAATTTAATCAAATAAACAAAGCATCTCTTACTGTGCCAGTTACTGTGGAATAAAACACAGTTGCTAGTCAAGAATGCATATTTTCTTGTTCCTCTGACCTTGAACTACTATCAGAAAACCGCTACTTCTCATTCAGCAGGATACAGGATGTGTAGTGGGAGCAGCTCTGGCAGGAGCGCTGTTCTTTTCTTTTTTTTAGATTTAATTTATTTGACAGAGAGAGACACAGCGAGAGAGGGAACACAAGCAGAGGGAGGGGAGAGTGAGAAGCAGGCTTCCCGCAGAGCAGGGAGCCCGATGCGGGGCTCGATCCCAGGATCCTGGGATCATGACCTGAGCCGAAGGCAGATGCTTAACGACTGAGCCACCCAGGTGCCCCAGGAGCGCTGTTCATTGTTGCTAATTTGCTGCATGACTTAGAACAGAAAAGACTTATATTTATCAATGATCTGATGTGTGTTAGGTGCTTTCAGAATGCTAGGATATTTTTGCTCTTTTCCATATCAGGAGGCTGAGGTTCAGAGAGATTAAAATGATTGTTTAAAGTTACACAACTTGTATTCCCAGCTGGTCTTTCATCCAAGTACTGACCAGGCCTGACTCTGTTTAAGTTTCAGAGATCAGACAAAACAGGCACATTCAGGATAAAGTCACACAGCTTGTAAATGTTTGAGCCAGGAGTAGGTCTGTTTGACGCCAAAGCTTATGTGCTTCTTACCATACTGCCAGATGAACAGGATCACTTAACCTTCCCTGAGTGTCATTTTGTGTGTGTCTTCCCCCAGCAGAGGATGGATATAGGAGTAAATGGTTGCTACAGGCAATATCAACTCTAAAATTCTGGGGTCCTGTAAGTTGGATGTTTTACCCTTGTCATGAAACATAATTGAATGAAGAAGTATTTTAATGAAATATAGTGATTTCAAACATAGAGCAGAATAAGAGAAAAAGGCTAGTTAGTAGAATTTGTAGATTCTTAAGGGTCCTGAATAGGGGACTTTTTGGTCATCAGGCTCAGAGTTGATAAATGGTCTCAGAAAAGAGGCAGGCTCCCAACTTTGGGACCTAGCCATCAGTGAGAAGGAAAGCATGATAATTTTGTGAAGGTATGTATACCTGCACAAGTGTGTGTGATTTTTTTTTTTTTTTTTAACTTAATGAGGTAGTCTTCCTTCAGATTTGGCCTTGAAAAATTAAAAGTGATTTTTTTTTCCTACATTATTAGAAACCTAGAACAGTTCAAACCCAGGAATTTATATCAAATGCAGCTGCAGCCTTTTGGCAGTTCAAAGAATGGCAAGCAGTTTCTTTCAGTATACCACAGATTATTACTTTTAGTATTAACGTTTAGGAAAGTGATTGCAGAAATTAATGATGGTCTAATGCCACAGAGATGGTTAAGGCAGAATTAGGATAAGATCTGAAAAATTCTGGCTTTAGGCCAATACTCCTGCTAGAATATATACTTCTTAACTCCTGTTGGTCAGTGAGTTCTATTTATGCTATACTCTGGAGGAGGGGGGAAAATCTTGGAATGTTGAGTTGTTTCAATGTTTATTCCTTAGTAAAAGGAAATGAACCTGTTAGCTTTCACTTCAAGTAAAGATACAGATAAAGGGGAAGAGTGATCTCTTATCTCTTTACTGTTACATAACCTAAAAATATATTAATAAAAGAGCTTTGTGTTTTATTATGAGATGACTTAAGCAAAAGTGATTAAATATCTATAACTGATACTTCTTCCAGCAGGACACTGTGTGGTGCAACTGCATTTCCTCTGAGAATGCAGCAGTGGATTTTAAAAGATCCATACTTTTCCTTTTAAAAATAGCAGAGTGATCACTCTAGTGCATGGGTGTATCGGTCTTGCTTCCCAGGGGGGTGTGTTTAATTGCTGTCAAACTGTGAAGCTTTATACTGACATTATTCTTTGTTAGCCATTTTAGGCTTAAGGGCCCACGGGAAGGCTTGGGTCACCCAGAAATCCCATTAGTATAAAATCACATTTGTAAGCCATATCCCTTGCGTCTTGAAATCCCGCTTTTTGCAGGACCATGACTATAATTTTTAATATGCTAACAAAATTAGGGGCTATTAGGTAGGAAGGTTAATACTCTTAGCAGGTTGCTTAATTTATTTATCAAGGCCAGCTTAATTCTTTGCTTATGAGAATCAGTTCTTATTTGCTTATTGCAGATACTCTTTAAAAAGAAGAATCGAATCATCTTCATAAATAACTGTTAAAATAAGGATGAAAATTAGCATGCCATTACCAGGATGATATCCTGTGCTATCATGGTCATTTTTAACTAACATAACCTGTCTTTCTCTGACATTTTTGTAGAAACTTAAGAAACAATGAAATTTCATGGGCCATAGAAGATGCTAGTGAAGCTTTTGCTGGACTTACAAGTCTCACTAAATTGTATGTATTTATAATATTTTTGTATGCCTATATGTGTATTTTCAGGAACCAATTGTAAATGTGATTGGATTATGTCTTTTTGCTATGGCTGGAAAGTCACCCTTTTGATTCACCCACTAAAGGAGGAAGCTTTTTGTTTATTAAGTTTTTTGTTTATCACAGTGGCTTTAAATTTTTTAAATTTATTTAGTGGTGGGACACTTTCTATTGAAAGGGCTTTCCTATGGGTACTCCAAGAGGTTATTCATAGAACTAGAATTTCTATTCACGTAAAAGAAATGCACGGAGAAACCAGAGTTGAACCAGTATTCTTTTTAATCATATGAGATTTATGGACAGTTTATCTAGAAAGAGAGGAATTCTCTCAAGTAAGATGTTAGATCTTCTCACCTGAGAATTTCTCCAAAGCTTCACACTTGTCTGAATTTCTTTGACCTGATCTTTTGCTAAGAAGGGAGAGATTGGGACTCTAATCCAATTTCTCATATGAAATCTAGCAGTGCATCACCGGTCCGCATGGCTATTCACAGGCACCTTGTTGAGCTCCAGCCTCTTAATAGAGGCCTTCATTCTGTGCTTTGCATTGGTTGGTAATAAAGGTTCACAGCTTTCTTAAAAAATCCATGTTAAACTTATTTTCACTTTTTATAGGTAAATGTTTGATTTAATGAATTAAATTTTGCTTAGTGGAGAGCTTTATTAGAAAGGTCTGTTTGTATTTCAGAATCTTACAAGGAAATCAAATTAAGTCAATTACAAAGAAAGCATTCATTGGTCTTGAATCCCTTGAGCATCTGTAAGTATTTTGCATCCATTTTGCTCAGTATATAAATAATCTTTGCTATTAGCAGAGGTTCTCATGACCATTTAAAGTGTTTATATAATTTAATTGTAGAAATGGTGACCGGTAATGTTTCATTTCTCTTCATTTCAGCGATTTGAACAACAATGCTATAATGTCTATCCAAGAAAATGCTTTTTCTCAGACTCGCTTGAAAGAACTGTACGTAACTTAAGTTTTTTTTTTGTCACCAGTCATTAGATCATTATCCATGCTTGTGCTTTAAGTGTGATAAATGTGACCCATGTGTTTCCAAAAACACACAGTATAGGCAGGAAAAAAAGAAATGTTAATATTCAGTTATTTTAGTGGCTGGATATAATTTTAAAATAACCCAAGATTGAAAAGCCTAGAGTTTGTGGCACCACGACCCTCTGTTTTGCCTGTGCTTACAGTTAAAGAGACCTTAGCATGGCTCCTTGTGCTTTAAGTATATCCTGTTCCTTCCCCCCCCCCCCCCCCCCGTTTATTTTTGGATTATTGGGAAAATGTGTTCCCAGTCTCCTTAGATGGGAACCTTAGGGTGGATTACAGTTAAGGTATTAGGTAATTTGTTGGAGATAATTTAGCAGTTTCAGTATCATCAGAGGGAATGTCTCTAATCTGTTTTTTCAAATTACTAAAATGGTCAAACACTGTTAAATAGTTGTATTAGAAAAACACATATTCATGATTTTTAAAAAATTGCTGTTACTGTTTTAGAGATTTCCCAGGGGGAGGGGTGGTTAGTTGGGCATTGGTATTAATTTTATACTCTGGTGATTTGAATATTGAGCCAGTGTTAAGAATCAGTGGACTAAAACAGTTGATCTCGCCTTGCTTAAAAGCCACTCAAAGGACGGACTGTGGACCAGAACTGGTTCATGATGAGATAAGGAGAGAAATTCATAGTAAGCATTTAGAAACTTTTAGAACAATTTGACATTATTGTGACACTTCTGTTGAATTTTATAGAAGTATTAATCTACAACAGATTGGAAATTATAAAACTGGTCCTTCATCACAAGTAGTTTGAGATGCACTAGAAGTTTGTGAGTTCATACTGCCTAGATTTCAAATTTCTGCTCCATTCTTTACAGCTATGTGACACTGGGGAAATTTAGTCTAAGACTCAATTTCCCTTCTCAAAATGGAAGTTGTACCTCCTTCAGAGTTATGTGAGGATAAAACTAGATAATTTGTTTATTCAAGAAATATTTATTATCCTCTGCTACGTAAGGTACTGTCCTAGATGCTAAAAACACAGTAGTGAACAAGACAAAATCTTTATCCTCATAGCATATTACAATAAATTCTAGTAATGAAGTTAAAGAATAAATTAGTAGATATATAATATCTCATCAGGTAATAAGAATTCTGGAGGAAAATAAAGGTGGGTCACAGGTGTGGAGAGTGGCTGGGATTGCTATTTTGGATAAAGTAGTGAGGGAAGGCTTTTTTTTTTTTTGAAGATAATAGCATTTGAGTCTGGACCTTAGGGGCAAAGCATTCAATACTGGGTGAAGAGCATTCCAGGCACAGAAAACAAGTGAAAAGGCCCTGAGGTAGGAGCTTGCTTCTTATGCTTGAAGGACAGCGAAGACATCAGTGTGGCTGGAAGAGAGCAAGAGGAAAGGGGGTTAGGAGGTGAGGTCAGAGAGTTAAGCAGGAACCAGACCACCTAGGACCTAATGAGTCATGAGGACTTTGGATTTTTTTTTTCCTCTAAATACATTAGGAAACTTTGGAAGGTTTTGAGAAGATGCTCAGCATAGAGGCTGGCACATAGTGAAAGTTGAATAACTAATATTAATAAAATAAAAATGTTATGGGAATCAGTTATTTTCTGCCAGACTTTTAAGTGGCTCTTTTTTGGGGTGGGGGGCGTCAAGATATTTTGAGTTATTTCTCCTGGGCTTAACTTTTTTTAAAATTTAAATTTAATTAATTAACATAAAATAATGTATTATTGGTTTCAGAGGTTCAGGTTAGTGATTCATCAGTCTTATACGTAGTGCTCATTACATTACATGCCCTCCTTAATGCCCAGCACCCAGCTACCCCATCCCCCTCCCCTCCAGCAACCCTCAGTTTAACTTTTAAGGGCACATCTTAGTGCATATCAGTATTACCCTTTTTTTGCCCATGATAATCTGAGGGCCACCAATAAAGTTTTAATGCTTATGAGAAGAGCTAAGTGTAAAATGTAATTTAGGTAGTAGGTGAAAGCAAATAGTATAGTTTCAGTCTTCAGTCATTTGGTAATTTGAGAATTGGTTTGAACAAACTGCTAATGGAGGAAACTCTAACACACCTTTTTTTTTTTTTTTTAAAGATTATTTATTTGAGAGAGCGAGAATGAGAGAGAGAGAGTACATGAGAGGGGGGAGGGTCAGAGGGAGAAGCAGGCTCCCCGCTGAGCAGGGAGCCCGATGCGGGACTCGATCCTGGGACTCCGGGATCATGACCTGAGCCGAAGGCAGTCGCTTAACCAACTGAGCCACCTAGGCGCCCTCTAACACACCTTTTTTTACTGAGAAATTGTGATTGCTTTTGGTTTACTTTAAATCGAAGTCATATTTACAATACTGTTATTACATCAAGATTTATTAAAATATATCCTTATGCGTTCTGGTATCCTTCACAGTGCTTTTCATAAATATTGGGGGGGAGATGGGAAAGTTGTATGTAAATTTAAAAATATTTTGCATTAAACTTAAATAATCATGGTAGAAACATTAGAAAACATATAGTTAAAGCAAGAAGGAGAGCAAGTCCCCAGATCCCCACTACTCAGAGACAACCACTATTAATATTTTGGTGTATATCTGTCCACACACTTTTCGAGAGAATGCAGGGTATTCTATGAGGTCCTTGGGGGCCGATTGGTTAGCATGTGAGGATAGAAAGATGCAAAAGAAGCAGAAGTAAAGGGAAGTAATGTGAATTCAGTGGTATCTGTGTCCAGGCACTGTGCTAAAGGCTTTATTTAAATTTTTTTGAGGTAGGCATTCTCAAACCCATTTTCCAGAAATAGAAACTGAGATTTTGGAGACATTAAGTATTTTGCCTAAGGTAAGTAGCAGAATTAGGATTAAGTCCATGTCTCGTGAGTCCAGCTTATACCTAAGACAGCATAAATCAGACCACATCACTCCTCTATTCTTAACCTTCCAATGGCTTCCTTCACACACACGGAGAAAATACTTCAAGTTCTCTTCTTAGTTTGTAAAGCATCTGCATGGCCTGGTCTTCCCTGCCCAGCTCCTTGACCTCGTTCCTGTCACTGCCCGCCCCCCCCCATGTCCCCTCCCTCAGTGTGCTCTAGCCTCAGTGGCCTCCTTGCTTTTCCTCAAGCACCCTGGGCGTGTCTGCCTCAGGGCCTTTGCATACAGTTTCCTATGTATGCGACACTCTTACCTCAGGTCTTTGTGGAATTTGCTCTCTCACTCCTTTCAGGTCTTTGCCCAAATGCCATCTCTTCAAAGAATCTTTCCCTGACCACTTTATCTAAACTAGTAGCTGCCCTCTCTGTATCTTTGCTTAGCTTTGTTTTTCTTGATAACACTTACTTTCTGACATTGTACTTTGCCTTTATTTGTTTATTGCTTGGCTCTAATGAATGTGTAAGTTCTGTGAGGCCCATATCACCACGGCCTAGAACAGTGTCTCGCATATAGTAGACTCAAATATTTGTCTATCAGTGAATGAATATAACCTAAGAATTCTTAAATGCAAAAGGTAACTTTTGGTCTGATTAATTAAAATAACCCTTAGTCAAATAAGGCTTTTGAGATACCATTGAAGACTGAAACTTCTTTGGAATCAGATTTTAGATACTTAAAAACTAGATGAGGATTTTGGTGATGCACACAAAGCAAGTTAAAATGTTCTCAAAATCTTTGCTTTTGCTACTTCCAGGTGGATGGGACATTCATGGGGTCATTAGGAGAAAACCTATCTGATTTTTCCGATATGTTTTATAGCCCTATCGTAGACAACAAATAAAATTTCACTGGTTCCTAGTTTAAGTTAAGCAGTACACATTGCCACAGGACTGAAATGTTTTTGTAATTGTAATGAAATAATTTGAAAATAATTCTTATGGAATTATTGTGGAATATTCTTGTGGAAAATATCTTCTCCACAACAAACATGTCTCTATGCTGCAATGTATATGGTAAGCTTTCCCCCAAACTTTTCTGGGAAAAATTTTAAACTTCAAAATTGAAAGGAAGGTACAGTTAACGTCCACATTCCCTTTACCTAGATTTACTGCTTGTTAACTTTTTGCTAAATTTGTGCTCTGTCTCTCCCTTCCTCCCGTCTCTCTCTCCCTCTCCATCTCTTTCTATCTCTCTCTTTTCTCTCCACATACACTACTACTTTGCTTAGCCATTTGATAGTAAGTTGCAGGCATCATGACACTTTGCCCCTAAATATCTCAGCATGTATTTCCCAAGAACAAGGGTGTTTTCCTACATATAACCACTATTATCTCATTCAATTAAATTAACATTGATAAAATAATATTACCTGACATGGAGTCCATACTCAGATATCCCCAATGTCAAAAAATGTTCTTTGTAGATATTCCTTCCAATCAAGAGTGATGCACTGCATTTGGTAATGAGTCTAGTCTCCTTTAATCTAAAATAGGTCCCTTACCCTTGTTTTGCCCCTTTTCTTAATGTTTTGGATGACACTGAAATATTTGAGGAATTGAGGCTGGCGGTCTGAATTTGTCTTGTAGTTTGATTCAGGTTGAACATTTTTTGGAGAGAAAAATGCATGGGTGTGCAGCAGGCTTTTAATGGTGAAGAAGCAGAATGAAAAGTAAACGGTATTTCTTTTCTTCTTGGCTTCTGCAGGATTCTGAACACAAGCAGTTTACTCTGTGACTGCCATTTGAAGTGGTTGCTTCAGTGGCTGGTTGATAATAACTTCCAGCATTCTGTGAATGTAAGCTGTGCACACCCTGAATGGCTAGCAGGGCAGAGCATCCTGAACGTGGACCTGAAAGATTTTGTCTGTGGTTTGTATTTTGTTCTAAAATTCTGTATACTACACATTGTCTTTTTAAAATCATTTTATTATTATTTTTTCATCATGATAAGTGTACTCTTCAATCTCCATCACCTCCTCCCACCCACCTCCCTCCTGGTAACCATCAGTTTGTTCTTTATGGCTAAGAGTCATTTCTTGGTTTGTCTCTCTCTCTCTTTTTTCCTTTGCTCGTTTGTTTTGTTTCTTAAATTCCACATATCAGTGAAATCTTATGATACTTGTCTTTCGCTGTCTGACTCATTTCATTTAGCATTATACTTTCTAGCTCCATCCATGTAATTGCAGATGGTAACATCTCTTTCTTTTTTACGGCTGAATAATATTCCATTTTATGTATATACCACATCTTTATCCATTCATCTATAAATGGACATTTGGGCTACTTCCATAATTTGACTATTGTAAATAATGCTGTAATAAACATAGGGGTCCATGTATCTCTTTCAGTTCCTGTTTTTGTATTCTTCGGGTACTTTGGTACCTGGATTGTAGGGTAGTTCTATTTTTAATTTTTTTAGGAACCTCCATACTGTTTTCCACAATGGCTGCATCAGTTTGCATTCCCACCAGCAATGCAGGAGGGTTCCTTTTTTCCACGTCTTCACCAACACTTGTTTCTTGTGTTTTTTATTTTAGCCATTCTGACACACGTAGGGGTGATATCTCATTGTGGTTATGATTTGCATTTCCCTGATGATGAGTGCTGTTGAGCATCTTTTCATTTGTCTTTTGGCCATCTGTCTTTTTTGGAGAAATGTCTGTTCATGTCTTATGCCTATTTTTTTTTTTTTTAAAGATATTATTTATTTACTTTAGAGAGAGAGTGCATGAGTGGGAGGGGCAGAGGGAGAGAGAATCTCAAGCAGACTCTGCGCTGAATGTACAGACCAATCCGGGGCTTGATCTCACGACCCTGAGATCATGACTTGAGCCGAAACCAAGAGTCAGATGCTCAACTGACTGGGCTACCTAGGCACCCCTGCCCATTTTTAAATTGGATTATTTGTTTTGGCGTATTGTGCTGTATCAGTTCTTTATATATTTTGGATATTAACCCTTTATTGGATATGTCATTTGGAAATATCGTCTCCCATTCTGCAGGTTGCCTTTTAGTTTTGTTGGTTGTTTCCTTTGCTGTGCAGAATTCTTTTTTTTTGTTAGATTTTATTTTTTTTATTTATTAGAGAACAAGAACGTGCACACAAGCAGGGGGAGCGGCAGGCAGGGGGAAAGGGAGAAGCAGGTTCCCCACGGAGCAAGGAGCCTGATGCAGGACTTGGTCCCAGGACCCTGAGATCATGACCTGAGCCAAAGGCAGACACTTAACTGACTGAGCCACACAAGCGTCCCTGTGCAGAAATTTTTTATATTGGTGTAGTCCCAGTAGTTTATTTTTGCTTTTGTTTCTCTTGGCTCAGGAGACATACCTAGAAAAATGTTGCTACAGCTGATGTCAGAAATTACTGCCTCTGTTCTCTTCTAGGATTTTTATGGTTTCAGGTCTCACATTTAGGTCTTTAATCCATTCTGAGTTTGTTTGTGGATGGTGTAAGAAAGTGATCCAGTTTCATTCTTTCACATGTAGCTGACCAGTAGTCCCAGCACCATTTGTTGAAGAGACTTTTTCCAGTTTTATATTCATTTCTCCTTTGTTGAAGATTAATTGACCATATAGTTGTGGGCTTATTTTTGGGTTTTCTGTTATATTCCGTTGAGCTGTGTGTCTGTTTTTATGCCATATTAACTACTACCACTTTGTAGTATGACTTGCAATCTGTAATTGTGATATCTCCAGTTTTGTTATTCTGTCAAGATTGCTTTGGCTACGCGAGGTCTTTTGTGGTTCCATATAAATTTTAGGATTGTGGGGCACCTGGGTGGCTCAGCCGTTAAGCGTCTGCCTTCGGCTCAGGTCATGATCCCGGGGTCCTGGGATCGAGCCCCGCATCGGGCTCCCTGCTCTGCTGGAAGCCTGCTTCTCCCTCTCCCACTCCCCCTGCTTGTGTTCCGTCTCTCGCTGTGTCTCTCTCTGTCAAATAAATAAATAAAATCTTTAAAAAAAAAAAAATTTTAGGATTGTTCTAGTTCTGTGAAAATGCTGTTGGTATTTTGATACAGGGATTGCAGTAAATGTGTAGATTGCTTTGGGTGGCATAAACATTTTAACTATATTTGCTCTTCCAATCCATGAATGTGGAAATGTCTTTCCATTTCTTTGCATCATCTTTAACTTCTTTCATCAACGTTTTATAGTTTTAGAGTACAGGTATTTTACCTCTTTGGTTAAATTTATTCCTAGATATTTTATTGGTTTTGGTTTAATTGTGAATGGGATAGTTTTCTTTTTTTTTTTAAAGATTTTATTTATTTGACAGAGAGAGACACAGCGACAGAGGGAACACAAGCAGGGGGAGTGGGAGAGGGAGAAGCAGGCCCCCCGCGGAGCAGGGAGCCCGATGCGGGGCTCGATCCCAGGACCCCGGGATCATGACCCGAGCCGAAGGCAGACGCTTAACGACTGAGCCACCCAGGCGCCCCATGAGGATAGTTTTCTTAATTTCACTTTCTGCTATTTCATTATTAGTGTATACAAATGCAACAGATACCTGTACGTTGATTTTGTTTCTTGCAACCTTATTGAATTCATTTATCAGTTCTAGTTGGGTTTTTTTTGGTGGAGTCTTTAGGGTTTTCTATATATAATATCATGTCATTTGCAAATATTGGAAGTTTTACTTTTTCCTTACCTATACAGATGCTTTTTATTTATGTTGTGTGGTTGCTGTGGCTTAGGACTTCTAGTAACTACTCTGTTGAATAAAAGTGGTGAGAATGGACATCCTTGTCTTGTTCCTGACCTTAGGGGACAAGCTCTCAGTTTTTCACCAGTGAGTATGATGTTGGCTGTGGGTTTTTCATATAAGGCCTTTAGTATGTTGAGATATGTTCCCTCTAGACCTACTTTGTAGAGGATTTTTATCATGAATGGATGTTGTATTTTGTCAGATGCTTTTTCTGCATCGGTTGAAATGATCATATGGTTGCTATCCTTTCTCTTATTGATGGGATGCATCACATTGATTGTTTTGTGCATACTAAACCACACTTGCATCCCAGGAGTAAATCCCGGTTGATTGCGGTGTATGATTTTTTAAAATGTTTTCTTGGGTTCGGTTTGCTAATATTTTGTTGAGGATTTTTGCATCTGTATTCATAAGAGATATTGGCCTGCTCTCTTTTTTTGTAGTGTCTTTATCTGGTTTCGGTATCAGGGTGATATTGGCTTCATGGAATGAATTTGGAAGTTTTCCTTCCTCTTGTATTCTTTGGAATAGTTTGAGAAGAATGGGTATTCACTCTTCTTTAAATGTTTGGTAGAATTCGCCTGTGAATTCGTCTGGTCCTGGACTTTTGTTTTTTGATTATTGATTCAGTTTCATTGCTGGTAATTGGTCTGTTCAAATTTTTTATTTCTTCCTGCTTTAGTTTTGGTAGGTTTTCCAGAAATTTATTTCTTATAAGTTGTCTAATTTGTTGATATATAGGTTTTCATAATCTGTTAAAATTATTTATATTTCTATGGTGTTGGTTATTTCTCTTCTTTCATTAGTAATCTTATTTATTTGGGTCCCTTCTCGTTTTTTTTTTAATGAATCTTGCCTAGAGGTTTATCAGTTTTCTTGATCTTTTCAAAGAACCAGCTCCTGGTTTCATTGATCCGTTCTGTTGTTTTTTTAGTTTCTATGTCATTTATTTCTGCTCTTATATTTATTATTTCCTTACTTTTGCTGGGTTGGGGTTTTCTTCTTTTTCTGGCTCCTTTAGGTGTAAGGTTAGGTTGTTTGAGATTTTTCTTGCTTCTTGAGATAAGTCTGTATTGCTGTAAACTTCCCTCTTAGAACTACTATTTGTGTCCCAAAGATAATGGACTCTGTTTTCATTTTCATTTGTTTTCATGTAATTTTTTATTTCTTCTTTGATTTCTTGGTTGACCCATTCATTGTTTTATTTTTTTAAAGATTTTATTTTGGGGGGACACCTGGATGTCACAGTTGGTTAGGTTTCTGACTCTTGGTTTCAGCTCAGGTCATGATCTCAGAGTCCTGAGATCAAGTTCCACATTGGGCTTTGCGCTCTGTGCTTAGTCTGCTGAAAGATTCTCTCTCTCTCCCTCTGCCCTACCCCCATCCCCCACCCCCTGCATGCACTCACTGTCTCTCAAATAAATACTCAAATAAATAAATCTTTAAAAAGATTTTATTTTTAAGTAATGTCTACACCTAACATGGGGCTCGGACTTAGAACCCTGAGATCAAGAGCCACATGCTCTACCGACCAAGCCAGCCAGGCAGCCCAACCCATTCAGTGGTTTAATAGCATGTTATTTAACCTCCATATATTATGCTCTTTTCCAGATTTTTTTGGTGGTTGATTTCTTTCTAGTTTCATAGCATTGTGGTCAGAAAAGATGCATGGTACACACTAACTATCTTAACAGAATTAAAAAAAAATTAAACCAGAATGCTGTCTAACTAGCATATCTGTTTCCATTTCTCTGTGTTCTTTTCTGAAATTTTTATATTTTGTAATTGTGGATTAAATTTTGTATTCTTTGACTTAATATATCATAAGCAGTTTTTTTCCTCTGTGTGTTCTTCAGTGATCATTTTCAATGTCAGTATAATGGCATCTTTATGAATGTAGGCCTTTCCCTTTAGAGGGTTGTTAGCCTTAGAATAGATATCCAGTAAAATTCCTGAATCAAAAATGATTTTCTTTTTGGGGCGCCTGGGTGGCTCAGTCGTTAAGCGTCTGCCTTCGGCTCAGGTCATGATCCCAGGGTCCTGGGATCGAGCCCCGCATCGGGCTCCCTGCTCCGCGGGAAGCCTGCTTCTCCCTCTCCCACTCCCCCTGCTTGTGTTCCCTCTCTCACTGTGTCTCTCTCTGTCAAATAAATAAAATAAAATCTTAAAAAAAAAAAAAAAAGATTTTCTTTTTAAAAAGTACTACATTTTCCAGAAAGATAGCACTTGTTTATGTTGTCACCAACAATGTATGAATGTACCAGTTTCACATTGTTTCTATTTTTTTTTTTTTTTTTTAGATTTTATTTATTTGACACAGAGAGACAGCTAGAGAGGGAACACAAGTGGGGGGAGTGGGAGAGGGAGAAGCAGGCTCCCGGCTGAGCAAGGAGCCCAGTGTGGAGCTAGATCCCAGGACCCCGGGATCACGACCTGAGCTGAAGGCATACGCCTAACACCTGAGCCACCCAGGCGCCCCACATTGTTTCTATTTTTGATGCAGTTTCTTTTTTTTTTTTTTTTAAGATTTTATTTATTTATTTGAGAGAGAGAGAATGAGAGACAGAGAGCATGAGAGGGAAGAGGGTCAGAGGGAGAAGCAGACTCCCCGCTGAGCAGGGAGCCCGATGCGGGACTCGATCCCGGGACTCCAGGATCATGACCTGAGCTGAAAGCAGTCACTTAACCAACTGAGCCACCCAGGCGCCCCCTTTGATGCAGTTTCTTAAGACTAAAGTGGTGACAGGGTTTTAGAGTTTTTTGGGGGGGAGGGGGGACAGTCATGGAAAAGTTGTCGTGATTCCAGTACTCATAATTTCAAGTATATATCTATATTGTTCTTTCTCAGCTTGGGCATTTTTCCTTTACACTTAAATTTCCTTTAAAGTAGAATAACTGATTCCTAGCTTTAGGTAGTAGAACTTTTACATCAGCGTATTTTCTTCCATATCACTAGTATCTGATCATTTAGATACCCATATATTGTCAGATCTGTGTTTATAATCTACTTAAAGATACTTAAGTATCCTGGAAGTTCAGGCCCACAAAATACTTATGTTGTTTTTTTACATATAAATAACATACTATTATTTATGAATCTGTAGTTTATTAGCCAATCCTAAGCCTATCTTTAGTTGGACATTTAACATGTTTGGAACTTCTCACTATTTTAGGTGAGAGTTACTCACATACAGAGTATGTTCAAATAATGTTTTATTTTATTTTCTTAAAAAGATTTTATTTATTTCAGAGAGAGAGAGTGTGTACGGGGAGGAGCAGAGGGAGAGAGACAAGCAGACTCTGTGCTGAGTGTAGAGCCTGATGCAGGGCCCAATCTCAGGACCCTGGGATCATGACCTGAGCCAAAACCAAGAGTCAGACATTTAACCAACTGAGCTACCCAGGTGCTCGCAAATAATGTTTTGTTAATAGGTCCACCCTGTAAAATATAAGTTTATAATCCCCATTTTCTATATTGGCACAGAAAAGATAATGGGTATTAATATGTATGTTTATATATGTAACCTCTACATATACACAGGAATTAATAGGATTAGAAGTTGTCTTGAAATTTGAATATAGGTTTTTCTTTTTTCCCAGTAAATGGTAATACTTAAGAAGTACATTCTAAGCATAAGAGACCATGAGTGATAGTAGAAAACATGCTAGACCCTGAAGTCTGAAAACCTGGGTTCCTGTCCAGGCTTTGCTGGGAACTTACATGTCTCTGAACAAGTTGTTTGACCCTTCTGGGCCTCATTTTCCATATCTTTCAACAAAAAGGAATTGGATTCTAGCCCTGTAGTCTCTGTGAATCTTAATATGCCGTTTTATAAACAGAACAAGCAATTTTACATTATTTGTGTCAAAATCTGTAGAAGCAAAAATAAATAAATGACTTGGCTCCTGCCCCATTTTTTTTCTCTTAGATGATTTTCTCAAGCCACAGATAAAAATGCATCCTGAAAATACAATCGCTCTTAGAGGCACGAATGTGACTCTGACGTGCACTGCAGTGAGCAGCAGTGATTCACCCATGTCTACCGTGTGGCGCAAAGACAGTGAAATCCTGAATGACATCGATAGCGAGAATTTTGTTCGTTATCAGCAGCAAGCTGGAGAAGCTCTAGAATATACGAGTGTCTTACATCTTTTCAATGTGAACTTCACAGATGAAGGAAGATATCAGTGCATCGTTACTAATCACTTTGGTTCTAATTATTCTCAGAAAGCCAAACTGACTGTGAATGGTAAGGAATTCTGCTCCCTGATAGTTTTATAGTTGGAAGGATTTTTCATGTTCAGGTTTTGAACCTCTTGGCCAAGAAAATGAGGCTAAGCCTGACATTTGAGGGGAGATTTTACTGTTTTGTCTTTAGGGTTGTGATAATGTATAGACTGGGTTACCATTTTGTCCAGTTACTGTCCCTAATTGGTCCTTGGTTGGAGGTAAGGGGGAATTCCATGGCCCCAGGAGATAGGCTGCTTTCCTTGTTACTTATGCTTTTGGAAAAATTCTTTTGAAATTCTCTATTCTTTCTAGAACCATAATTCTGTTCTGAAAACTGTGAAATGTATTCCTGGCACTGTTCACAGGGCTTTGTAATAACAGAGTATTTAGGACATTTCTGGGTGCACTGATCATGATCATTGTCTAAGTGTGGTCACACAGAATCATTTATTAATGCTCTTCTTCATTGTGGTTGTAAAAAGAACTTCTCCAAAAAGTTTGATTAATTGATCACCTATCGGATTGAATCACTAAAACATTTTAGGTTTTGTGCAACCAAAGGATATACTTGTGTCTTACTTCTGGGTTGTTTCATGAGATTTTTGAAGGCATAAATTTTTTGTATTCTGTATTTTATTTATTTTTTGGTATAAATTTCTTTTTGCATGCATTTGCCATGACGGCTTTGTAGATGTTAGTTTGGAAAGCACCGTTTAGTCTCTTAAGTAAGGGAGTCGTAATAAATGTACGGAGTTCTGAAAGGTTTGTGGCCTTCTACCTTTCCTGTCCTCATCAGAGAGATAGGTAGACGTGTCATGCATTCTAGAAGAGTTATCACTGTACTCCAAGTATTCTGAGGTTCAAAGAGAAAAGATGGCCTCTGAAGTTGTATTTACTGTCAATCCAGAGAGCATGCCTTCTGAAAGAAATAGAATATTACGAGTTGGTACTTTGTGTATGTGTGTATAAGTGTGTGTGTGTGTGTGTGTATGTATTACCACCGCCCCACCCACTTTGTTTTGGGGATCTTTCTTGAAACAGAGATGCCATCTTTCCTGAAAACGCCAATGGATCTCACTATTCGCACTGGTGCCATGGCCAGATTAGAATGTGCTGCAGAGGGGCACCCTGCACCTCAGATTTCCTGGCAGAAAGATGGTGGCACTGACTTTCCTGCGGCTCGAGAAAGACGCATGCATGTCATGCCCGAGGATGATGTCTTCTTCATTGCCAACGTGAAAATAGAAGACATGGGAATCTATAGCTGCATGGCACAAAATATAGCCGGAGGCCTCTCAGCAAATGCCTCACTCACAGTATTAGGTATGTGTACTGCCCCATGGGTCCCTGCTTTGGTTGGAGCCTTTTTTTTTTTTTTTTTAAAGATTTTTATTTATTTATTTGAGAGAGAGAGAATGAGAGAGAGCACATGAGAGAGGGGAGGGTCAGTGGGAGAAGCAGACTCCCTGCCGAGCAGGGAGCCCGATGCGGGACTCGATCCAGGGACTCCAGGATCATGACCTGAGCCGAAGGCAGTCGCTTAACCAACTGAGCCACCCAGGCACCCTGGAGCCTTTTTATTAAGGGTCTATTTTGGTCTTAATGGCAAAAAAAAAAAAAAAAAAAAAAAGTCTAAGTTTGAGATTTTTTTTTTTTTAAAGATTTTATTTATTCATTCGAGATACAGAGAGAGAGAGCATGAGCAGTGGGAGAGGCAGAGGGAGAGGGAGAAGCAGACTCCCGGCTGAGCCAGGAGCCCGATGTGGGGCTCGATCCCAGGACCCCGGGATCATGACCCGAGCCGAAGGCAGACGCTTAACCATCTGAGCCACCCAGGCGCCCCTAAGTTTGAGATTTTAATTGTGATCCTTCTATCTTTGTCACTTTTTTTTGCCAATACATGCAGGGTTATGTCAGCCTAGGATATTAGTGGATCAGATAACGGAAACCTGGGGAAGTAGTGAGGGCAGAATTAGAGATCTTTATCACATGAATTGAAAATTCAAATCCCTTTATCCTGTTACATCGCCTTCTGGAGTTTTCAGTTCATATATGTTTTTTCTATTCAGCAGTGAGTTTGCAGTTGTTTTATACTGCTTCACAGACAACTCAAGACAATTTGTTTTTTTCCTAGTTTATTTAAAAAAAAATTTAATGCACAAAAAATGACCATCTTCTGGTTAGATTTTCTGTTCTCCTTCCAATGTACTCCTCTTGATCCTATGTTCTGGTAAAATAAAATGTTTTTTCCCTAAAGAGTTCCTCTGACAAGCCTATTTTTTTTTCTTATGAGAATACCTGTCTTCATGGGACTCAACTCAAAGGCAGATTCTGCTTTCTAGTTCTGTATTCCCCTAGATGTTAGGTTTTTTAAAAGTTTGTTGGTTTGTGTTATTTCCTTGTGTAATCAGAAAAATAAGTATATAGTTTTAAAAATTTAGGATATATAGAAAATTAGAAAAAGGGAAAGTCACTAAAACACTGTTAAAGATTTTGGCATATTCTGGACTTTTTTAAAAACACATTTTCATGTAGTTATGTATACCTACTTTTATCCTCTTAAATATTATATCACAAGGGTTACTCTGTCATTAAGTCTTCAGAAAATATCATGTGCCTGTACTATGGTTTACTTACAACTTCTCCTGCTAGATTTAAAGATCTTTTTCCTTTATTTTTAAAAATTACAACTAGTTTCATAATAAACCTGTTTGTGTATAAATCTTTGACTTCCTTGCTTAGGATAGCTTGCCCAAGGTAGAATTAGTGAGATAAGATTTTTGAGGCTTTCGCTTTTCTGAAACACTAACTTCTAATCTTCCCATAAGTATATAAAAGTGTTTACTTATTTTTTTTTCTAAGGGTTTTTTTATTTATCTTAGGGGGTGGAAGAGGGAGAGAGGGAATCTCAGGCAGACTCCACACTGAGTGTGGCGCCTGACACAGGGCTTGATCCCAGGCCCCGGAGATCATGACCTGAGCTGTAATCCAGAGTCGGCTCTTTAGCCCACTGAGCCACCCAGGTGCCTCTGAAAGGGCTTACGTATTGCATCATCACGTCATTCATCTGATTCAGTAGGATTTAAGAAATAAAATGGTTTAACATGATTTTTTATACATCTTTCTGTTAGAGACACCCTCATTTATCAGACCGCTGGAGGACAAGACAGTAACGCGAGGTGAAACTGCGGTATTACAATGCATAGCTGGAGGGAGTCCTGCCCCTCGCCTCAACTGGACCAAAGATGATGGGCCCCTGCTGGTGACAGAACGGCACTTCTTTGCTGCAGCCAACCAGCTTCTCATCATTGTCGATGCTGGCCTGGAAGATGCTGGGAAATACACCTGCATTATGTCTAACACCCTTGGGACAGAACGTGGTCACATTTACCTGAATGTCATTTCATCCCCCAACTGTGACTCTTCCCAGAGTAGCATTGGGCATGAAGATGATGGCTGGACCACAGTTGGCATCGTCATCATTGTTGTGGTCTGCTGTGTTGTGGGCACCTCTTTGATCTGGGTCATTGTTATTTACCACATGAGAAGGAAGAATGAAGACTATAGTATCACGAACACAGGTGAGTGGTACCCAGTCAACACCTATGGCTTGTACTTGAGTCAGGAGCGTAGTATACAATTTATTGTAAAATATTAAAAGCTGTGGAGCTTTGATACTTTATGTGTGGTAGGAGGAAGAGTTTTTTTGTTAAAATGTCCTCCTTCCTTGATAAAATGGAACCTCTCTGATGAATAATTTTAAGAATTTGTAGACATTCCCCCAGAACCTTGCTCTTACAAACACGTTACAGGTGCACCTTCTTTCTTTAATCCTTAGGGCTCATTTCCATCCAAGCTTCTCTGTGGGGGAAGAGTGGAGCCCTTCTGACTGGGATCGGCCTTTCACCCCCCCGTCCCCCGAAATTCTGAAAGAGAAGAGGCTCAGTCAGGTAGACTGTGAAAGTACTCCTATGGATAAGATTTTAAGACTTTAGGTTTCGCCTCTTTCAGTAATACTTTCAAAATGAGGCTTTGAAAAGAATTTTAGCAAGAAAGAGTTTTGGGGGGGAAATTCTAAGACTTGTTGAGTTCCTAGGTACATACCATTTTCCTGGCCAGTATATATATCAGAGTGGAGCACATTTGCACAATAGTCTTCTGAGTGTTGCCTAACGTTATTTGAGAGTTACAGATGTGTCTTTTACAGAGGAGCTTAATCTGCCTGCAGACATTCCCAGCTACTTGTCTTCCCAAGGAACACTGTCGGAGCCACAGGAAGGCTACAGCAACTCTGAGGCAGGCAGTCATCAGCAACTCATGCCTCCTGCCAATGGATATTTACACAAGGGCGCTGATGGTAATGACTCTTCGTTGTATATGCTTACAATTTCAGCCTATTCTGTTGAGTTTATTTGTCAATGTGTAGTTTTCCCCATTAACCTGAGGCAACATTTTTTTTTATTTTGTAAAGATTTTATTTATTTATTTGACAGAGACACAGCGAGAGAGGGAACACAAGCAGGGGGAGGGGGAGAGGGAGAAGCAGGCTTCCCGCGGAGCAGGGAGCCCGATGCGGGGCTCGATCCCAGGACCCTGGGATCATGACCTGAGCCGAAGGCAGACGCTTAACGACTGAGCCCCCCAGGCACCACTTGAGGCAGCATTTTAAAGCAAGATACTCCGTGAAAACATTTGGCTCCGTGCAAAATAGGGTGGAAATTGACCAAAATCTTAACAGAGAAGAAAATCATCTGACAGGAGAAACACATCTCAAAACAAGAGATTGGCGTACCCAGCAAAGGCTCCCAAACCGAAGTATTATCATGAGAAGGAGGTGCTCTAGAAACTTTTTTGAGGTGTCTTAACTTTTTAAGACATGAGCACTCTTTAGGCCACATCCAGGGGAGGTTTGTGTCTCCTGCGGACAGGTTGATGTTCACTGAAGTTTAAAGGGCAGTGGTGATTCTCAGCATACATTGGAGAAATCAGAGAGATACAAAATGTTCCCTAATTAAATGAACCCAGTTTCTAGTGCTACTTCTCTCCCCCACTCCTCCCTTCCCTCAGGGAGTGACAGAACTCGGGGAGGTGAATTGAGGGATAGAAGAATTGGGTTTGATTCCTAGTTCCTGTTTCCGGCTCTGGGACCATGAACAAGTTACTTAAATCGGAGCTTTAACTTTCTCATTTTTAAAATAAAGAGACGATACTTTATAAAGGACTTCTCTCAAGATTCTCACAGATCCTTTCAACAGATCGGTGTAGTGCTTCAAGTACCATACAAATGAAAGGCCTTTTCTCTTTGTACAGAGATTTTTTTAGGCTGAGCGTTAACAGGGTTTATCTGTTTAATCGCTAAATTGGATTTTATTTTGGGTACCTCTAGCTTTTAGAAGAACCTTTAAATGCCTCTGCTCTTTGAATTGGTGGGAAATAACCCTGCTTTCTGGGCCAAACTAACTTCCAGTTCTAACAGTGTTGCTTGATCAAGAAGTTACTTGCTCTTTATTTCTCTCTCTTTTCTCTCTTTGAACAGTTTTCAAAGCATGTAACAGTCTGGGGAGCTCATTATTAAACTTTACCTCTGCCAGACATGCACATGTGTCAGGCAGGACTCTTGACCATCAGAGGCTTTTTCTCGGGGTACTTTGAGCCAGGAGTGTTGCTTGATCCCTTGACTCATGAAAGTAATGTGGGCTTTGTAAAGTGCAGTCCTCATAACGCCTTGTTCTCTGCTTTAGTTCGCTTCAGCCAAACATGTGTCTTGTGGCACAGTGCAGCCTTATCTTGGTTCCCTTGAATTGGGCATGACCTTGTCCAGGCTGGACAGAGATGGTTTACTGTAGCATTCAAGAGCATGGGCTCTGGAGCCCAGAGTGCCTGAGTGTAGATTTCAGCTCTGTATTGTAGCAGTGTCTTGGAGCAAGTTCCCTCATATCTCTTGTGTTGTAGTTACCCCATCTGTAAAGTGGGGGTACATATTACCTACCTCATGGGGATGCTGTGAGGATTAAATTAGTTAATTCACAGAAAGACCTGGTTTATCAAGTAAGTGCTAAATCGATGCCAGCTGTGGGGATAATGGTGACAGCTGGTGTAGAAAACTGGTGATCGGCAAAGCTGACTCCTTAACTGAAGGATTCTTTCCTGTGTTGTCATCAGGTGGCCCTGGTACCCGGGTTATTTGCTCCGATTGTTATGACAATGCCAACATCTACTCCAGGACCCGAGAATACTGTCCATACACCTATATTGCTGAGGAAGATGTTCTAGATCAGACACTGTCCAGCCTCATGGTCCAGATGCCCAAAGAGACATATTTGGCACATCCTGCCCAAGATGCCCCTACCCTGGAGAGCCTGGTATCATCAGTAGACAGAGAGATGGCTGCCTTTCCCACCAACCATGAGAGGATAAATGAGAAGAAACTTCCCTCCACACAGATGAGCAGTGGTAAAGGGCACAGTGTTTTTTGTTTATTTTGTTTTGTTTTTACTCTCACCTACTTGATTTTTCCTTCTGTCCTATAAGTGGCACTCAGATTTGACAGGAAGCAAGCAAATTGGTATAATAGAGTGATTAGCTACTGCTAGCTGGTATAAGGTAGGGCCAGAGATTTTCAGAGATTAGAATTACAGAGAAGTCTGCATCTGTAGGATGGAAACAGTTTCTATGGGCGTATCAAGATCACACTTCTAGAAATTCAGAAGCCATATAGAAAAAGCTTTTAAAAAGTTTCATATAGGTGTTTTTTCTTCCATCTTTACTTAAGTAATGGAGATTGGATATGCCGAGGATATAATTTGGTGGAGATTTTTACTGAGAAGGTTTAAAAATGATGTGGTTGCTGTTCTAGCAGGTAAATATTGAATGTCAGTATCACTTAGCCAGTGTTTGTTTTCATGTGTGAGGCATTATGATCCAGGGCCCGAAGTGGGGATGCGGTTATGGGATAGTGGCTGCGCTCCTCCACGGCCCGGGAGAAGACACACGTGTCACATGGGCAGAGGAGGCATGTGGTAACACCTCGGTCAGTAAGACAAAACTCTCTATAGACTGGGAAGGGCACTACTGCGCATGTCTTCCTGTCCATCCAGGTTTTTCATCAGCTGTCACCCTGCTGTCAGCCTAAAATGGAAGGGCACAGGAAGTTGGGTGGGGGTGAGGACTGCAGGTGCTTTCAGGGGTGGTTCTGGCAGGAGTACATGAGCTGACATGGGACTTTTTTTTTTTTTAATCTATTTTTATTTTGAGATAATTCTAGAGCCCCATGCAGTTGTAAGAACAGAGAGTTTCCCTTGTCCCCTTTACCCAGTTTCCCCTCCTGGGAACATCTTGTCCTTTCAAGAATGTGATGTAGATAGGATCATACAGCATATAAGCTTGGAATTGGCTTTTTTCCCTCGGCAAAATTCTCTCAAAATTCATCAAGTTGTTGTATATTAAAAGTCTATTCATTTCTGTTGCTGAGTAGCATTCCAAGATAAAGATGTCTACCTTTTGTTTAACCATTCGCTTAATAAAGAGTATCAATGTATAAAGAACTCTCAAAACTGAACAGAAAAATCAGCCAGTCAATGAGAAAATGGGCAGAGGAACTGGACAGACATTTCACCTAAGAGAATATGGATATACACAGATGGCAAATGAAAGATAGTCGACATCATTAGACATCAAAGAAATGCAAACTGAAACCACAATAACAGGTCATTACACCCTAATCGGAAGAGCTAAAATTTAAAAAAAAAAATTGTGACAAAATAAATCTTGGTTATGATGCAGAGAAACTGGGGCACTCAAACATTGCTGGTGGGAATGCAGAATGGTATGGCCACTCTAAAAACCAGCTTGCCAGTTCCTCACAAAACTAAACATGACATGGGACTTTTAAGATGTGCTCTCTTATTCTTAATTAAGAGACCAACTCCAAAGATTTCTAAAGAGGGTACAAGTCAGAGAAAAGTATGTCTTGGCTTTAAAGTTCAGTGTCCATGAAAGAAGTGCACCAACACTTAATTCCGTGTTCCCATGTCCTGTCCTAAAAGAGTTACACACATAAAAAGACTTTAAGTAGAACCGAAAGTGCAGTGCATCTTTTTCCTAACTTTCAGGATATCTCAATTGTTAACTTGGTCTGTAAGTGAGGAAGTCAGCAAATGAGTGCTTTGGTGCATTGCTCATTCCTCCCTGGGGTGCTCTAGCTCCTTGCTACTCACAGTGTGGTCTCAGCTTCAGCATTACCTAGGAGCTTGTTAGAAATGCAGACCAAGGTTCCCACCCCGGACCCAGTGAACCAGAATCTTTATTTTAACAAGATCCCCAGGTTATTTGTATGCACGTTAAAGCTTAAGAAACCCTGCCCTAGCTTACTTTTCCACAAGGGTTTTGTTTTTATTTCTGAGTGTTTGTTTCCAGAATGTTTTGCCTGACTTTCTCCAAAATGCATCCCCATGAAGTTAATACAGCTATCAGCAAATATTCTTTGGGGAAAGAGCTCACCACTGCAGTAAATGAGGTGAATGAGAAATGCATATTTTTGAAACCAAAGTACAGATAATCTGATTTAAAATTGCTGCTTTTGGTTATTATTTTGTTGTTAGAATTACTGGCATGCTAGAAGCTGGAGGGAGATGGTTTATTTTTAAAACAATTTTTTTTAAACATACTCATTTGTTATTTAAAGATGTAATAGCTGCACTAAATCAGTGATTTTTGTATCATGCAACTTTCACTACAATATGGATACTATTTTAGTCTGTTTCCATGTGTCTAAAGAATTTTATTTTTAAATTTTTGTAGCAGCAGAACCACTAATAATAGATGAAAGCAGAGGACATATCACAAGGTTTCAGTAAATACTTGGTTAAGCTTGTTGAAAGACCATGGTTCCAGTTTCTATTTTGTTTTCTTTTGTTAACTGTTGCTAAGAAGATGGCAAGTGTACATTTGCTCTCAATGTCCTTATTCAGGAATATTGGGTATCTTTCTTTCTGGGAGGATTTGGGTAAAAGAAAATGAAGTTTTAGACCATTAATTTTGAACTTCCATTTGCCACTGATTATTGTCTTTCGTTCTCAGAAATGTTGCCGCGGCCTCTTTGGAACATAAGCAAAGAACTAGGCCTGCCTCATCCTCCCTTTTCCCAGCAGCCAGTCCTTGAGCCACCACAACTCCATCAGCATGAGGGTCTGGCAGAGAGTGGCCCAGAGGGTTCTGCCTCCCTCACGCCCTGTCACAGGTTGCACGACCATGCTTTTGATTTTAGTAGGACTCGGAACATTCAAGATGGTAGTGAGGGCACATGAACCTCACTCCAGGCTGAAATCTGGGCCAAGACTCCAGTTAATTCATTTTGTATTTACTACCTCAGAGTTCAGAAGAAACCCCAAAGTCAGCATTTGCTTTACCCTGTCTGCAATTACATCTGACCCCACCGAGGTGGGCCAGGCATTTGTTTGGGCTTATTCCTGAGGAAGAAGGGGAAACGGCTGACAGAAGTGGGTACATCTAATAAAACATGTGCAACACGGGCAGAGGAAAATACAGTACAACTGTGTTTGCTGATGGTTCCACGGGGTTGTGCCCAGCTGTGCATTGCCTATTAGGGAGAGCCTCATTGCTGCTTAACATGCTGGATTGTCTGAACCTGCAGAATGATTCTGAGAAAACATCACTGTTCTGTTGTGTCTTCCAAGGAATAGAAATAACTTCGGAGCCCTCTGGGAGGTGTGTCTGGGATTCTTCAGTGGTTTTAAGCATCTAGTTGAGACCGAGGCTTTGATATTCAAGGTCTTTGACAAGAATCCCAGGCTTGACCAACTGTTACCACATCAAGGGGTGTTGTATTCTTGTGAATCTTTTTTTTTTTTTTTTTGGTCCCTGTCACCCAGGGATCTCGTTGTAAATATATGTGCATTTATAAATAATTTTTGTATTCATTGACCATATGTGTTAGCTGCATTGTAAATATTTTTGATATGCCAAAATTATATATAATATCCAGTTATAATATTGACAGCAGCTTCTCAGACCACAGATTTTGTATGACTTGGTTTAGTGAACCTAAAGACTTTGTTTAAAGTTTTAAAAATGTGTTTGTTAAGAAGTATATGTATAGAGGCAGGGTACCTAGTGATTGCATACACACAAACACAATCTTGATGTAATTAACCACTTTCTTTGTACCTAGAAGTTCATACATCTAGTCATTTGCCATCTGTTTACAAGTGCCAGGTAATACTACCTTTCTAGCATAAGAAGACTCAAAAGACTAGCAGTCTTGTCCTAGCCATGTGCACAGAGAGAAAATTTCTTTTGGGAATATCTTTCAGCAAAGTCCTTAGTTGATGAGGAAACCAAAGATGCTTCTTTTCAGTTTGTTTTTTTGTATTTCTTCTACCAAGGCACAGTATATCTTAAGAAGGGAAGAGTGCTTTTGGGTAAGTCGAATGTGCACAAATTCATAAACTGTAAAGCTTTAGAGTGTTTTCCTTGTTTATACAAGTGATTATTTAAGCCAAAAAGTTCTCTTGAATTTTTGATAGCAAAAAGCTTTATATGAACAAAGAACTTCTAATGGAATGTAATGGACTAAAGTTTGTTTTTTCTTTGTTCTTTCGGATTTCCTTACTTAGGCTGTCAGATTCTGTCCTCTCAATCTAGTGAGTACTAGTTATGTGCTGGATGACTCCCATCACTTAAATGAAAATATCTATTTCTAAGTTACTGTGCATTTCAAGGGTTCTAAACTCACATAATGTCTTCGCTTTTTGCCACAAAGTTGAATTGCGTACTAGTTCTCAATCCTAGTTTTTTTCTCCCATAGGCAGTGGCGTGCGTCTCTTCAGCGGTTTTGTACCACCAAGGGCCTTTCTCTCTTTTCTTTTTCAAACTGTCAGCCTCTTCATTTTTACTTCAAACTTCTTAAGTATCACTATTTTCCCATCCTTTCAATTTGTGATTCTTCTTCTTCCTTACTAGGTTGTACTGTTATCTGTACAGGGCTGACTTAGAATCAGGAGACCTGATTTTGTTCCTGGCTCTGGTCCTTACTGGCTGTGCAGTCAGGGGCAAGTGTCTACTTCTCAGCCTGATTTTCTCATTTATGAAATGAGGGAATTCTACTGGATGCTCTAAAGCCCTTTCCAGCTGTAATGTTCTGTGAATCTGTGATCCCTCCAGCAACCCAAGGAGCATTCTGCTCCTCTAATAAAAAGCTGCTTTCACGAAACGTTTGTTAGAGTAACAAGAGTGATGCTGCTTACTCTGACTTGAGCCAGATTCACTTCCTCCACAGCAGGAGGGACAGTGTAAGAAATATTCTCGAGGAGAAGAGCTATTCTGCTTTGAAACCGTCTCAGTGAACGACGAGTGTTGACTCGATGGAAGCCACTGACGGCTGTCCAGAGCAGCGGCTCTGAATGGTGCGGCCGCCGCACGCCTGAGCATCAGAA